GCGCGCGCGTCGGCCGCGCCGCGGGCGGCCGCGGCGGCGGCCTCCTCCTTGTCGCGCAGCGCGGCCCGCAGCTCCTCCGCCGCCGCCTCGGCCTCCGCGGCCCGCGCCTCGGCCGCGCGCGCCGCCTCGGCAGCTGCGCGGAACCTGCCTGCCATCCGCTCCTCGCCGCGCTTGGCGTCGCGCGCCTGGCGCTGCAGCGCAGAGAGGGCGGCGGCGTGCTCGGCGTCGGCCTCTGCGCGCGCGGCCTCGCCGGCCGCGCGGCTCTCGTCCTCCAGGCGCCGGATGACGAGCTGCGGCGTTTCAGGGGCGCGTGGGGGGTTGGGGCGCTGATCGGGCTTGATCGGCTCGGTCCTCGGCGGGCCTCTCAGCTCATCTATCAGACCTCAAGGCCGAAGAGAACCGCCAACCCTTGCAACTTCATGCAGAGCGCATGCAGGCAGGCACCCCCAAACTTGCCCGCCCCACATCCCCCAACCAGATGCCCGCCCAGATGGCTCAATTGTGGCAAGCAACGCAGCCGCTGTGCCACTGCTGCGCAGTGCGGCTGCAGGCCGCCGGCCTGCTACACTGTCGTGCTACACTGTCGTCTCCAACGGTGCACCCCCCATCGGCCGCACTCTATGTCATCCATTCCCAGACAAATGCTCACGCACGCAGGCACACACATGCACGCGGGTGCGCATACACACAAGGTCGCATGCACACACACACACACACACATACACATACACATACACACACACATACACACACACACGCGCGCGCACGCGCGCACCTCCACGTCCTCGTCCCTCTCCCGCGTCAGCCGCGCCCTGAGGGCCCTCTCCCCCTCAGCCGCCTCGCGCCGCAGCCGCTCCGACAGCGCTGCGCGCCACGCCTCCTGCGCGTCCGCCGCCTGCTGCCGCGCCTCGTCCAGCGCGCGCGCGTGGCGGCGCTCCAGTGCCTCGAGCTCTCTGGTGGTTGGATGATCATTGGTGTCAGGAGGCGGGAGAGTGTGCACAATTGCCGGGGAAGGGGCGCGCTGCGCCGTTGGCATATGCACGCCGCCACCCCCTTAGCGGTTGGCGTCGCTGGTGCGGAACTCGCTACCCTTCCTGTCACTACTCATTGCACACGCTTTGCTGCAGCGAGATCCTGATCCCGTGTGAGGCCCCATGCGATGCAATGAAAGATTCATCCAGGCACATGACACGTGACACTGACTGCGCCCAGAGCCCTCGCGACCCCGCCCCACCCACCGCGCCGCCTCCTCCCCCAGCCGCCCCTCCAGCGCCCGCAGGGCCTCCGCCGCGGCGGCCGCGGCCTCCTCCGCGCGCCGCTTGTCGTCGCGCCACGCCGCCTCTGCCGCCTCCAGCTTCAGCTCGGCATCAGCCACGAGCCGCAGCCGCTGCACCTGCGGGGATCGGGTACGGCAGAAATCTCGTTGAGCATTAAGGAGAAAACAAGATGCAGCCTCTCTTGCGCCATTTTCAAAGGAGTAGTGATTGCCGTCGTGGGCAACAGTCCAGTGACCCCTGCATTCGTCCACAAAAAAGCCTCTCGCCACAATGTTTGCTGGGTTGCTGGGTCACTGGTCCCCATCAGGCCTGGCACGGCCCCTCGTCGTCACCCAACCCACATCTCTGGCAAAGTCTACCTCCCGGCCGCCCCCCCCACACGTGCCGAATCCCCGTCTCCCTTACCTGCATCTGCTGCTCGTAGCGCTGGCACGCCTCCCCCAGCCTGGCCGCGGCCGCCGCCCTCTCCCTCTCCACCGCGTCATCCTGGTCCTGGGGGTGCACCGGAGGAGGGGGGGTGGTGACGATGGGGCGCAGGTGGTGAAATGAGGCGCCAGGGGTGGGATGGTGGCAGGGGCCCAGTGCTGTGTGCGTGTGCTTGTCTGTGTGCGTGTGTGGCGCGCAAGGGGGAAGAGCTGGCTAGGGTGGGTCGTGCTGGTTCGTGATGACACACTGGTGGTTGCAAGGAGAGGACTTGCAGGAGGCGAGGGGGCAAAGCCGGGCCAAGAGAATGTGTCGCAGCAGGCACTCGTGGTCCGCAGGGTGCCAGGTCGGTCGGAATTTCTTCGTGGGGCCAGGAGCGCAACAGGGGTAAAACAACTATCACATGAGCAAGATCCCTGGATCACATGACTCAAGCATGCCTGTGATACAAACAGACAGCACCACACCTTCCACAAAATTTGGCACGCACGCGCGCGCGCACACACACACACACACACACACACACACACGTGCAAGCCGCCGCCAGGCCCAGCACCTTGGCCAGGCGCTCCCTCAACAGCCGTGTGTCCGCTTCATGCTGCGCGCGCTGTGACTCTGCCGCTCGCGCCGCCTCCTGCGCCGCCGCCTCCTGCCCAGCCGCCAGCTCAGCGCGGTGGCGCGATATCAGCCGCTGCACCTCCACTTCCAGGCCCTGCGCATGTACGCGACGCCAGGCGTTCTCGATATTTTTGGATCGACGATCATTTGGGGGACCAACACCTTTTTCAAGGAGGACGTCTCGCTGCCAATACTCCCTCACGTGGATGTGCGACCGGCCGCCAGCGCTTACTCAGTTGATCCCTGATGCCTGTGGTAAAGCACTGCTTCGACCGTTTCACCACCACCCAGGCCACATCACCACTCTCAGCCATGACCCACCCACCCCACCCCAACCCC